ACACTGTGTTGTGCCACAAGTCTAGGAAATGCTCAAGAACTACTGGGATCCTGTCCAAAGCCACCAAGAAGTGACCTGTACTGACAACTTGGGACAATGTGAGCATCAAAAAGATTCATGATGGTGATGAATTATAATGCATTGAAGTCTACAAGAGAAATGTTCGACACATAAGAGAAAGAGAAGAAAGGATGGTCTTTTTTGTAGAAGAATGACAGCTATTAAATGTAGAAGGAATGCTGGAATTAGAAACTCAGCTCTCTGTAATCCTCAGTGCAGTAACTGATTCAAACATGGACATGGAATAGACGTCAAATCACTGGGTAAAGAATTACTAGGGTCAGGATGTTCTTACAGTCTCAAATTCGATTATTTACCAATTACAAAGGGGGGATTTTCTCTCTACAGTACAGAGATCTAGCCGTCACTTCTTTAAAAAGCAATCAAAAGCTGTATCACCAACAGTAAGTGAACCTGGCGTCATGTGCCTCTGGATGCACTGAATGCAATTCACTGAAAGATACACATGCAATGTCACCTCTGCAGTAATCCTGACAAAATTCTCAATGCGAATCTACTCAGGAGGGAACAGGCCAATCTGGAAAACGGGACAGCATACAAGATGACTGGCTGAGGTACTTCAAAATCAACAATGCTGCTGAGAGAGAAGGCAACATCGAGAGAGACTTAGAAAAAGAGACAAAATCGAAGACAATGGCTCCTGACTTGGAAAAATAGAGCTCTAAAAGATACTTGGGAAACTGATCGGAGAAATTTGAATACGAGCTGTGTAATCGATGATACTATCGAATTAACATCCATTTCCATTCTTGGTAAATAAAATACAGTAAAATAAAATAAAATAGAAAATAAAATAAATAGAAAATAAAATTTAATTATCTTGCTGTTAAAACCCAGGTTTCTTAGCTCTAATCAGGCAAATGCCCCACAGCTTCATTTAAAATCTTGTCAGAGTACCACTGTTTTAGGGTTTTTCTGCACATGTCCCAAAGAGATGCTGATTCCTGGTCTCACAGCTATCCTGGCACAAGGACTTCTAAAGGACCATGGCTAGCAATCCCCCTCTCTTCCTGTGGGAGGCGTTCAGGGGAGCCGCCAGCCAGTGCAGGAGACCAGAGGGACTGCCTTTCCTCCTTTCAGTAAGAGCCATTGGATCCCTCTTACAACTCACCTTTCAGAGAAACTGAATTTTAACCTGCAAAACTGGAGGACAGGATGTTCACTAAATCATTCCTAGGTGACAGCACATGCAAAGTTCCGCTACAGGAGAATAGCTTGCTTGTCCCTAGCTTTTTCTTTCAGGTCTAACTTCTTCCTGACTCAAGCCTGACTCCATCTAGTGTCAGTTTTGGAAATTTGAATTGTGTCTCCCTTCTCTGTGGAGGAGCTCCGATGTGATACGTGCCAAGAACAGTTCCCTGTACACGGTTGGGGAATGAATGCGGGGAGAATGGGCAGGGGCAGAGTCCAGTCCAGCCATTAACTCCCAGCCACGCACTTCTCCCCCTCTTTCATTTCTTCCTTCCCTTCCTCCAACCGCTGCCTTCCTCCTGCACCCTTCTCCATCCTTTTCCTGCACGTCACTCTCACAATGTTTCAGCCTCGCCTGGATTATGTAAATTTCCTCCTATTGCTGCAATGTATTAAAATAATCCAGACCCTCCAAACACACACAAAACTGAGACACTCCTCTGACACGATCGATCATACATAGGAGCATAAAACCACAGTGATTGTTCATGCAACAATGCTTTGAATTGGCGTGTGTGTTATTATTCACAGCAACAGCTTCACGCGCAAGCATGTGTGTGCCAGGCTTTCATTATGAGTCATCACCGCTTCTCCCAGCCCCTCACCCCTCGCACGCACGCATGCATGCATGTCCGCACGCACCAGGATGAAGCAAGCACTGGGCTTTGTGAAATCCTTCAGATTTATGAATTCCAAACTAAGATATCCCTGATTCAGGGTTTGCAACTGTTCTGGAAACTTTCAAGGGCACTGGAGCTTTCAAAACACAATGCCTTAATCCCACAGGCCCCCGGATGTGTGTGGGCTGTTTGGATGGCCAAGTCAGCATCTCTCACTGTGGGTGGTGACAAGATCACTGCTGGAATTTCCACCTGCCCACTCGATCGCCCTGACACAGAGCCAGAGCCAGCCACGGCAGCCTACGGCCACACGCCGGGGTGCCTCAGCCACCCAGCAGAGGGCCCCCGAGGCCACGCTGTGGGCCAAGTCTTTGCCATTGCAGGCACAGTCCATCCATCCCAAACTGTCCCCCATCCTGCACTCCCTACTACAGAGACCAGCTGGGTCCCCAAAGGCAATGCAGGTTCTGGACCTAGGGTTCACCTTTGCATTCCCTCACCCCTGCCATCAAAAGCCAATCCTTCTCATCCTTCCAGACTCAGTCCGTGGCCTCCCACACCCCAGTCTGTCAAAAGCCCTGGTAGAAATCCCAATGAAGTTCAGTCTGCCTGATTCTACAGTGGGACAGTCTGAGGCAGCGCCAACCCAGAGTAATCGGAGTGTAGCCCTGGGTGAGCTGGGAGAACACCTTCCTGCAAGGGCTGGAAGAAGACAGAGCTGCCCCAGGGAGAAGGCACCCTTTAGGGTGGAGAAAGGGAGGGGCATTAGCTGACCTGGAATTTCACTTTCCTGCATGAGTGGGTCATGAATTTGGTAGCAGTTAGGAGCTGTTCAGCATGTTTCTTTTAGAAAGAGAAACGTGACAAGTTAGCCAGGGTGGGTCTTGGAGTGTGTGAACGTGTGTGTGTGAGATGGGACACGTGGCCTCCGTGGTCCCCCAGCCTCAAAAGCCCCCAATTCCACCACGCATTTCCAAAAGCCTCCTGCGGCTGGGAACCTGCCCCCTGCTGTGAGAACCCCAGGTGCCAGAGGAGGTGACATTGTCAGTGAGAGGAGAGCTCTCACTATGGCCACCCCAAGAACCCACAGACCACCACCCACCAAACCTAGGACGACCACATGCTCCGGTTTTCCTAGGATGGTCTGGGTTTATGCCCATCGTCCTGACATAATTATTAGTTGTGTCTCTTCTCCACTGTCAAAAAGTCCAGATTTGATGGCAAGGTAAACAGTCACCCTAATCACACCTGTCTCCCCTAGGCCAGTGGGTTGGCCAGCCAGGCAGTGGAGGGGGAGGGCAGGGGATGGGACAGAGAGAGAGACCGAAAAACACTGAGTCAGAAACAGAGAGGTGATGCTTGGAGACAGAGTTGATGAAACATCCTTTAGGGCCTCACAATTCAGAGATCATTGCCAGAAACCAGAACATCCGAAGGAGGGCAGATCCTCAAGAAAGTGAACTTCTGAGGAAAGTCCATTTCCAGCTCATCCCCCGGGCATCCCCCTGATCACAGTGTGCCACACGCTCCTCTCTTCTTCATCCATGAATCCATCCATTCCTTCAAGAGACACTACTTTGTAAGTCCCAGGTCCCATGGACTGACTGGAGGGGAAGACTGTGTTTCCGGTTCCTTCTAAAAGCCCAGCACCCTGTCTCAGCCCAGATTCTACCCTGAATACCAGCCACTTCCTGAACATCTCTATTTGGAAACCTTCAGAAGCCTCAGACTAACCATGTTCAAAAAAGTAGTCGCCAACACACCCCCACGGCCCACTGCCCACACCTGCTCTACCACCTCCTCCTCTAAGGGCACCACCCAGCCAGGACTTCCCCGCCCCAGCAGATGCTCGCTGTTCTTGGATTCCTTCCTCTTCTCCTGCAGCTGCATCTTCACTTTGCTCCCAGGTCTTGGGCCATCTGCGTCCTTGGTATAGCTCAGATCCTTGCTCCCCCAGTGAACTTCTCCTCATCCTTCCACATACAGTCCCGGTCTCACCTGTGCTCCCAGACATCCTGCTTCTTTGCTGGATCATGCACCCTTCTGCACCCCCAGGGCACAAAGCAACACACACTTAGCCCTGTCACAGCACCCCCTGACCCCAACACCAGGTGACAAGGATCTATAATGTGTCCGTCTCCCCAGTAGACTGTAAGGGAACCTGTCTTCTCTTTTCTTAATGCTCACCACCTAGCCCACACCTTAATGCTCATTCATTCATTCACATCTGAGTATCATGAGTGCCTCCTCTGTTCTAGGCTCTGTGCTATGTGCTGGGGCTACAGAGATGAAGAGGATCCCACCCACAAGGACCTTATATATTAAGGGGGAAACAGTCAAAAGAAATAGACAAATCGGTATATCATATACTGTCAGCAAGTGGAAAGTCCTGTGAAGAAAAATAAGGCCAAGTAAGGGAAAGAGAATAACTGGAGAAGTGGGGGGAGGGTTCTATTTTAAGCAGGCCACCTAAAACAAAATGGTGACATGGAAAGAAGAGATGCGAAGGAAATGAAGGGCAAAGCTTGCAGCTATCTGGGCAAAAGCATTTCATATGATCGAAAACAGCAAGTGCAAAGGTCCTGAGGTAGTATTGTCCTTAGAGGCCATAAGCTTTATGAGGAAGAGCACTGAGGCTGGGTGGCAGCAGGCAAGCCAGGTAGCCTGGAGCAGAACACATATGGCTTCCCAACTGGGTCATGGCAGGAGCTGAAGATGTCACCCTGAGAGTGGGGGATGCACTGGTGGCGGAGGAGAGGATCTAAAGGGGAGGGGAGATCCTAACCCATGGTGTGCAGAAGCCAGCCCAAGCTCCCTTTGGCTACTGTACCCTGTGGGTCTTGTGCTCATGACACCTGCCCACTGCCCAAAGGAGGGGACCCAGGGTACATTCTAGTGCCCTAGGAAGCATTTCAAAGTGAAGAAAGGGGCTAGAATGTCAGGTGAGAGAATATGGATAAAACAGGAGGGAAAATGGTACCAGTCACAAGACAGCGGCGACCTTACCTTGGGGTTCTCTTCTTTAGCGAGATGGTGTCTAAACAGAGAAAGCAGGATATTAGGCAGGTAACTGAACAGGACCCTGTGGTGACTTCCCAGGACAGACCCCCTTCCCTATATCCTCTGCTGTTGCTCCTCTTTGAAGTACTCAGATAAGAGTGTCTCATGTTCATTTCCTGAGTTTTTCAGATGCCAAAAACCACCACCAAAGGGAAGAAATTAACTACTTGATGATCAAGAGCACATGGCCCCCAGACCTCCTGGCGCCTAGGAGTTGACAGTGTTGGCCACCCTGTTACCTTTACATCAACCAATCAAAGAATTGTGCACAAGCTGATCACATACCCTGTGACCCCCTCCCTTACCTGGCCTTTAAGTAAACTTTGCTGAAACCTGTCAGGGAGTTCGGGGTTTTCTTGGGCATGAGCCACCCCATCCTCCTTGCTCGGCCCTGCCATAAACCTTCCTCTGCTCCAAACTGACATTTCGGTTTGTTTAGCCTCATAGTGCATCGGGAACACGAACTTTTGTTTGGTGACAGCCAGGGGGCGCTGTGATAGTGGTGCAGCTCGCTCAGTGCCAGGCAAGCAGGAGAGGGTCAGAGCCCACCCCACTCAGTGCGCTGAGAGGCTCCCTGGGTTGGAGCCACTGGAGGAGCAGTCCTGGGCTCAGTGTTCTACCCCCTCCCCTTTGGCACTGTTGGAGCTTCTCTCTCTGGGTCCGATCACTGAGCCCCTGGCTCAGCACACAGGTAAGAATGAGCATCCACCTCCAACTTCAGTCGCTCCTTTTCTCCTGCCTCCTTGTAGAACTTGGGCTCTCTTGCCCTTAGGAGATCCAGAAGGTCTCCTGCTGTGTGATGGAGAGGCCGTTTCCTCTCCCCGCTTATTCCTAGGGATACAGAATCAACAGCAAACAAGCCCCTACGACCACTCAAACTCCTTATGCAATTGGACAGGCCCCCTCTCCCTGCCCCATTCCCTTCTGCACATCTTTGCAGATAATAATCACATTTTCGAGAGATGTGGTGAGGCTCTTTCCTCCTCATCTTCAGGAAAACCTCACAGCAAACTGCCTCCTCATACCATGAAGCAGTCTTCCATAGGGAATGGTTTGTTTGTTTCTTTTTTTTTTGGTGGGGGGAGGTAATTAGGTTTTTAATTTATTCTTAGAGGAGGCACTGGGGATTGAACCCAGAACCTCATGCATGCTAAGCACGCGCTCTACCACTGAGCTATACACCACCCCACTACGGGGAATGGTCTTTGTGGGTCGCACTTTGAGAGAAAGAGGGTGTGAATCAATGTCGCATTTTGCCTTCAAAACTCAGAAACTGAGTGTCTGGATCATGAGGATACACTCAGCACTGCTCAGCGTAGGCTTGCTCAGTTTATGAAGAAAAATGCAACTTGGCCCACATAATCGGCGCCAGCTGCATCCCCCACCACCCAGCCATGCTAAGATCAGCCTCGTCACTTCCTGCCATCAATTTCATCTGATCACACTATTTGTATAAAAGAATAGACATTTCTGTCTGAAGCCAGCTCAGCTCTCTTCCCCACCTTTCTCCAGGGAAGCTGATTCTTAGGAAGACCAAGAGTGACTAAATGGAAAAATATGGGAGAAGGGGGATGGTGGGCAGACAGACAGACACACAGAGAGGTCACTGCATTTCTTTTCAACCATGTTTCTTATTCTCTCTCCAGCCGGCATGGCCCTGGGAGCCTCACGCTGGGTGGTTGCCCGGAATACATCTTGTGTCAGGCAGGAGCGGAGCTGGGGTTGACCACCACCGGTTCCTTACCGTTGAAGCCTCCGTTTGTGCTTCTCAGGTCTGAGGAATCGTTATCAAACAGGTGCTTCCTGATCATGCAAATCTTCAGGGCCAGGAAGCCGGCCGAGATGGCGATGCCCAGAGCAGTCCCGATGAGGGCGTATTTCATATCTGACGGGCAGGGAGGAATTGAACCAGGGGCTGCGATCAGTCACCACCCTGCAAACATCTTCTATGGCTCCTTTTATGCTAGGATGGATTTCAGATTCAGGCACCTTAACATTCCATGCTCCAACCCACTGAGGCCAGCCTCATTTTCCACTCTCCTGGGAGCACACTGCCTCCCTGCCCTTCCACCTGCACCCCTTCTCCTCTTCCTGGAACCCCATCTCTGGTCCCTTAGCTGAGGAAACCATTCCTGAGTGGCTGATGCCTCATTTCTCTGGCCTCCTGTAGCCGTCCTCACTTATCTCTGCATCAGTTCATTTATGGAGTATGTTTTGATGGCTTGCTCTGTAGTGAGCACTGAAGGCAAGAGACTAAGCCTTCGAGTCCATCTTGAGGAGCCTGCAGTCAGTGGCAGAGGAGAAGAGCTCACTCTAATGCCAGGTGACAGGGTGGGCCGGTGTGGGAGCCAGGAGCCTTCCCAGAGAAGGTGCCCGGCAAGCTGCACTGTGCTAGGTGAGCTGATCCCTGAGGTGGAGGGAGGGGCTGGCGAGGGCATGGAAGCCAGGCAGAGCCCACTGTCTAGGGGCTCACGGCTGCGGTGCAGGGCACTGTAGGTGCAAATAAAACGTCTTTCAACAAATTAAAAAAAAATCATCTCCTAGAGAGTGGAAGGAGGTGGCCCTGATGACTCATGTCCCCTTTGAGGGCAGTTTCTCTTGCAGCATGCCCCCGGGATGAAGCTGTGTTAGCCACTCAGGCAGCCCTGGAGGGGGCACTGCTCTGGTTTTGTGATGACTGGCAGGAGACGCATATCAGGACACCCCACCAGAGTGCCTCCTCCCGCCCCTCAGCCCTGCACCCAGAATCAGCCAGGCGGCCACTTACCAGTTTCGGTCCCAGCAGACTTGCCCATTGCTAACACTTGAACTCCTCCAACATCTGCGAAGACCGAAAACCCAGAGTCTGGTTAGAACAGAACTGCTGGCCGTGATCAGGCCAGGGGGTCAGGGGTCAAACCTTGTTCTAATTCCAAGCCTTCTTGGAAATCTGGTGACCTCTGTGCCCCATGGGCCCACGTGGGGCCCATCCACCCACCCACACACCACAGATATGATCCTGGTTTTGTCAATTCTTTGAATGAGATTCATTGTTCCTTTACATTAATTCTTACATTAATCCTGCCACACCAGCCAGGTTGAAAACCATTTCAAGGGTGGGACAAGGTATTTTGCACATGGTAGGGCTGGACCGCTCCCGCCACTGAACAGAGCTGACTTCCGGGTTGATGCCAGAAAGTCTGAGCTACGTGAGCTACACGCTCGCACTGGGGCCTTTCTGACTTGTCTGGCCCCTTGGTGCCTTTATCGGGCAGAAGGCAGGGGACAGGGCAGAGCAGGGCATCGGTGCATGGAGCCAAGCCCACTGAGGGACGGTCTTTTCCCCTGCCCCACTCACACACAGACATCGTCCTTCGGTCCCCTCCTTGGGGGTCTTTCCCCTGATGACCATCACCTTGACCATCTTGCAGCATAAAAGCTTTATATGAGCCCAAGATGAAACTTGAACAGAGGAAACAGAAAGGACACAAGTCAGAAAGAGCAAGATGGAAAGAGATGGAGAACCAGAGAGACACAAGGAGACATGCGGACAGAGGGACACACACTGCTTCTCGGCTCTGAGAAGCTCAGACTGCTGGCAGGAGGGCTGGGGAGGAAAGGGGAGAAAGAATGTCTAGAGTCCAAAAATGCCTGGCCCTGCCCTCCCTGACAGCACCAGGCTCCAGTCATCACCAGGCTGCCAGCATCCTTCATCAGCCTCGCCCACCAAATGCATCGGCTCCTTAGATACCACCCTCCATGCTCCTAGTCGGGAGGCTGCCCCGGTCCCTGGCCCCAGAGGGGCTCTCCTGCCCCAGGTCAGGGACTGAGTGAGTGCCCTCCATGGGGGCACTGCTCTTACAGCTGCAAGTGACAAACCTGGGGAGTGGGCCGCGCTGTGTGCTCCACCAGGCCACATCCCATCCTGGTAATTCCTGCTAGCCAGCCAGACGGCCACTCGGCGGCAGCCTTTCCCCTCCTCGGGGAGGGAAATCCTCCACCGCCCTCCCCCCTGCGCTCTGTGTCTCCGGCCTGAGCTCTAAGGAGCCCCTGGGTGAGGATCCGTCATAAACATACTTATGCCCCAGCCACCCCCATCTTTGCCTCCTGCCAGGGTCATGGGCTGGGGGAGTCCCTCCTGGACCATAGATCCCTGTGAGCCCCCAGCACCGATCTCCCCTGACTCTGCAAAGTAGCTGGAGATGGATGGCCCGAGCAGAGCTGGTCTGCAGGAGCAGCCAGAGGCCTGCGGAGCTCTCCTGCCTTCAGGTCTGTGAGAGCCCCAGGAGGAGGCCACGCTGCGCTCTCTTTGCTGGATTTCTCCGTGTTCTCTCATGCAGACATGAAGGAGGAACTTAGCATCCAGAAGATGGTCT